GCTACCTCCTGCTTTGTGAATTCTCGCCGTTCGGCCGCCTGATATCTTTTCTTTTGTTGGACTGGCCTGGCATCGGGCCGAACGGCCAACCTGTGGCAGATGAGGGCCGGATCAATTCCCGGCATGTCTTCGGGCCCTCGGGCAAATAGGACCTGGAATCTCTTCAGAACAGCTATCACCCCCTCCCTGATTCCCCTTTCAAGGTCTGCCCCGATCGCAAGCTTACGATCGGGAGGGGAATCAAGCTCGATGTATTCTAGGAGGGTGGCTGGCTCGGGGCGTCCCTCGAACTCCGTACGCCGAGTCTGTACCTCAATGCTGTTTACCCGTTGTCCCCGGGTGGTCATTTGTTTCAAAGCTTCCCGGTAGCACGTTCGGGCTATGGCAGGATCTGTTCGGGCCACTCCTACACCGGTGTCAGTTGGGAATTTGATGCATGAGTGTCGAACAGAGGCAATTGCCTCCAGATCTTCTAGCCCCGGACGGCCCAATATGGCGTTGTGGGCACATGCAATATCCACCACCACAAACGTCATCCGGACTGCCGCTCGGTGGATTTCATCGCCAATTTCTACCAGAAGCTGGATGGTGCCTTCTGCCTCTATGACATTGCCGGTGAAGCTAGCCAGCGGTGTCTTCAGCTTGGTCAGCTGATCCTTCCTCAGCTTCATCTTCTCCAACGTGCGTAAATACAGCACGTTCACACTGCTTCCCGTGTCCACCAGAACTCGGTGGATCAAGGCATTATCTATACACATACTCACCACTAGCTCGTCCCTGTGCGGACTTGGTGAGTTGGGTAAATCAGCTGCCCCAAACGTAACTGGCTCCAAGCGGCCCTTCTTTGTGGGAGGTGCAGCTACAGTGGCGACATAGAGGCTGCGCTCAAATTTCTTACGTTCGGCGGCCGTATCACCGGTCTCCCCTCCACCAAAGATGACTTTCACCTCCAATCGTGGCTTTTTTCCCGGATTCCCAGACCCCTCAGCCTCCTCTATAGGGGGAAGGTATGAATCATTACTGGGTTCTGCATCCCGCTGGGCATCCCTCTTCCAGCTATTGGATCGGGGAGGGCGCTGATTAGGGGAAGGGTTGTTCAGGTTGGTACTGACATACTTCCTCAGGTAGCCCTTTTGGATCAGGTCCTCAATTGCCACATGTAGGGCGTGGCAATCCTTCGTGAGGTGCCCATTCCGTTGGTGGTATCTGCAGTAGGAGCTTGGGGTAGGTCCCATCACGGGCCTTGTGTCAGTAGGGGGAGGAATGGCGTTGTGTTCCAAATGGAAAACACCAGCTATAGACATGACCAGGGGGGTGAAGCGCGTAGTCCTTCGATGAGGTGCTGCAGCCGCTGATGTGGGTCCCAGACGTTCTGCCAGTCTTGAAGTGGGAGGTTGCGGGGCCGTTCGGTCCCTTATCCTGATCTCTTCTTCCAGGGCCGCATAGTTCCTGGCCCTTTCCAGGATGTCTGGGTAGCTGGTCCCCGGATTCCTCTTCAGCTCCCTGTATAAATCTCCCGTCTGAAGGGCATTGGTGAAAAGAAGGATGGCAGTCTCATCTGTCATGCCGGTCACCTTCAGGGTTTCGGTCCTCCACCTGGTGAGGAATCCGGAGATTGATTCTCTAGGCCCTTGCCTCACACTGGTTAGATACCCGAAATGTAATTTCGGGGTTGTGCTGGAGGCGAACTGAGCCAAGAACAAGGTGGATAGCTCCGCAAAGCTCCCGATCGACCCGGGTTGTAATGTTCCGAACCATTCCTGGGCTGGTCCCCGAAGGGTACTGAAGAACAGCCTGCATATTGCCGCGTCGGTGGCCCCCAATAGCATGAGGCCACCCTGGTAACTCCTCAGGTGTACGTGGGGATCTCCCACCCCATCGTATGCTAAGCCGGTCGAGGGACGGCAGTCCTTCAGGATTTCGGCGTTCATGATTTCCCTAGTAAAAGGAGAGGTGATCCCAACCCGTGCTGGCGGGGTTTGTTGGGGCGTCCGATTGACCTGCTCTCTGAGCTCAGTCATCTGTCTCCTCATTTCGGCCATTTCGTCGTCTTGGGCCGTTCGGGGAGTGTGTGGTATCCGAGCATCCACACATTCCGGTATTCTGTTCTGGGGAGGAGCAGCTATGTTAGCCCTCCTCCGGATGAAGCGTTCCCCATCCCTCTGGATATACTGGAAGTTTTGACCAACGGGATCTATCATGGGGGTAGGTTCCCTGTATCCGTTTCGAGGGGCGGACGGGGTTCGGCTGGTTGGTGCTCCTCGTCTGGGGGTATGGGCCCTCCAGTGGTTCCTGCGGCGTTCCTCGGAATGAACTGAGGCCATCGTAGTCTCGATGTCCTCCTCTTCGTCAAAAGATGGCATGAGACGCAACGGGGATGGTGGCTCGTGAGTTTCATCGGTGTAGCCCCGTTCCTGTTCGTCCGCCATGCGTTGCATGGCCTCCGCCATCTCCCTCATCAACTGAGGGTTCATCCTTACATCCTGGGGGATGATTTGCTCGAACTCCCGGGTGGCACTGCCACTGGCGTGTCCTTGCCTGGACCATCCCTCAGAGGATCTATTGCCTCCACGGCCTCTGGACGTAGAACTTGGTGTCGCGGTAGTAAGTCTATCCATTTTCAAGAAAAAATGGTGCTTAGATCTCGGCTTTGCCTGGACTTTTAGTGTGGTTTCCCACAGACGGCGCCAATGTTGAGGTTTATTCCCGAAGATCCGAAAGCCCAACACAAGCCTTGGATATTGTGGGGATCTGGGGTAGGGTTGAAAATGTGTATAAAATATAAAATAGTGAGATAATATCCAACTCAAGAACTTACTTATATTCAGTAATTAAGCAATTACACTGAAACTACCCGAACGGTAGATGAATATGAGATTACAAGGATGGGAGATGTAAATCTATTGCTTAAGCTCTGAGTCTTCAAATGCTAACCCTTTACAATGATCTAAACATGGGTATTTATACTAAAATAGAGATGGGTGAGGTGGACACGTGGTCAAATCCGGTAGGCTGTCACTTCTGCCATGTATGCACCCATGCCCCCACTTGCTGTCGTCATGATCCAGCATTAAATGCGACCTCCACTTGTTGATTGCCCGTTCGGGCAGGATGTTCGGTGTGTGGGACCCCGCCATAGGTGTTATCCTGCTTATGAACATATCCCGAACGCCGATCGGTATCTCCGCCATAGGTGATCTAGTTAATGGAAGTGTCCCGAACGCCGATCGATACCTGGCCTTGATGCTTTGGCATAATTGTTTCCCGGAATGTTCCAAGTATAAATTTTATCCCGAATGCCGTTCGAGAGTTCCTTTGGACTGCCTTGGGCCTGCTGCTTCTTCTTGGATTTGGGCCTAGGGATATTGGGCCTGGACCCAATATCCCAACAGCATATTTTATGGGACATCCTGAACCATCCCAGTTTTTCTCGGGTTGTCCCGATCCCATTTTAAATGGGACAACATTGGTGTAAAGACTTATCCCGTACCGTACCAAACCGTTGTTATAAAACCGGGACACGGTCGGAATAAGCCAAATCCCGGACCGTTCCGGACCGTGCCCACCCCTACCTCCTGTAGAGGATCTAATGTGAACAATTTTTCTTATGTGTTTTCACATGATTTATTGACTAGAATTTAACTATAAAAGTGAGCTATATTCGTACTACTTCTCAACCTTTCATGTAGAAAGAGTTGAATGAGGAAAACATTATCTAATGAATTTGCAATTACTCATAAACCTTCTATTTGTTTACCTGAAGTAAACGTATATTATTTTATGAACCAAATTGTATAAATAAAGGTTTTGGAGACTTTTAATTAAGCATCTACCCAAACCTAGAAACAACATATGAGAATCTTTTGATTTGAATGGTGTTTGATTATATAATAAATAAAATATCTAGTCATTATATTGTGAACACCTGAAGTGTTTGTATATTAATTTGAGATCCTAGGAGGATCAAACTTGTCTCATTTAAGTTTTATGGACAAATATTTGAGAATACTCAATTATTAAATTTTTGATGTGCATATGAGCATTAACACGAAATTTGACGGTCTTGAAATACACATTGAGAAATCATGAGTTTAGACAATTGCTTCTTCTCAGAAATTCTTGAACATTTGGTTACTAATGTCCATCAAATTTGTATAAATAATAATGGAGGTTTTGTATAATAAAGATTTTCATCAGCTCAAATTATATGGAGTTGATTGAGGTGAAACAATTAATTGGTCTAGAAGACCAAGTGCTATTCTTTTTTCCTAACCAAGTTTTTTCCCAAAGGGTTTTTCTTGGCCAAAGGTTTTAAGTTATTTTATGATTTTTAAGAATGAGAAAGATTTATAACATTCGGAAGACTATTATTCTCTAAAAGAGTGATTCTAATATTAGTTCGAAAGATAATACCCTGAAGGTCTTAAACTCTTAATTGGTCTTTGTGAGATCAAACAATTTATTGGTCCGGAAGACCATATGCAACTGTACTCTTTTTCCTTAACCAAGTTTTGTCCCATAGGGTTTTCTTGGTCAAAGGTTTTAACGAGACAGTTTGTGACTTTGAAATAATATATTATGATACATAAAATTCGGAGTATTGTTTTTCTCTAGAAGAGTAAATTCAAATGCAATCCAAAAGATTAGGCCCCGAAGGCCAATGACTGTACTCTTTTCCTTTACTAAGTTTTTCCCGCATGGTTTTCTTAGTTAAAGTTTTTAACGAGACAAACAATAAAACACATTGTTTTACATATATTATGTACTTCTTTCCTTTGGTTTTTTCTCAAAGGGTTTTTCCAACAAGGTTTTTAACAAGGCATAAACATAATACAATAATTCATTCAAGGAGTTAGCAACCAGATTGGATTGAATTGGATTCAACAAGAAGACCTGAAATGATGCAATCAACAGGGGAGTATATACGTGTTAGTAGTGCATGAGCTTAGAATTGCCCTCCTGTTTTTCTTATTACTGTTAAAACTACTTGGCAAAAATATTACGAGAAGAAAAAAAAAGGAAGCAGCGTATTATATATGTAGTAGTTAAAACGAGTAGTTAGGTAAAGAACCTTACGGATCATTGTAAGTTGGAACACCAATTCCACGAAAAAATCCAATGTAATATAAAGCGGAATTTCTCGAAATGCATGAAAGTGCACATGCACGATGCTACAAAGACAAATACCCAACCCACAAAAGTAACCAAAAACAAAAACAAAAAATCTAAACAAAGCAGATTCATAGTCCACCTGTTTAGGTCAACTTGTGAATGGTCTTCATGTCCACAGCTTCATTCAGAGTCCCTTTCTCTACATGATCCCACCATTTGAATAAGAAATTATCAACTACGAGTCGGAACCAAGGGGAGAGTTTTATATCCTCCTCCCCTGCATCTGCTTTCTTCATGATCTCTTTCAGCTGCTCTCGGTCCACATATTTAAGATCAGCGACCTCATCTGGGTTAGGATGCACACTGACATCCCGGACGATGAACAGGAGGTAGTCAACTGAGCAGCAACAAAGGTCCGATTAGTATAACCAAGTTATGTATTAAATGCATTAGGATAGATAGAAGTATTCTTCAGTACTCCAATTTGGGAGCTTCAATCATTTTACATATTTACATTTGCGCAAGTTTTGCTTTTGTAGAACCCTTGATGTCCAAAATAAGGACCTATGTTTCTGAGTGACTCGAATTAGCTAAACTATGAGTAGATCTACACTGATTGAATAAATGGATTACCTACACAAAGATGTAATGGTAATATGGCATATGTTTATGAAATGAAGAATATAAATATGATTAGGGCTTTCTTAGTTCAACCATTTCAACTAAGAAAGCAGCTCATAAACTATACGCTTAATATGAATAAATCAAGTAAAAATAGCTAAATAAGAGGAGTGTGCAAGGGGGGTGTTTAGTGAGATTTTGGTAGACTAAATTCATCAACTGAATTTTATCTCGCCAAATGGGTACTAAAGTGCATATGGTAAAAAAATATAGAGGTCGAATAAAGTCACCCCACTACATAATAGGCAAAATTATCTTTTAAAAAACATTTTAAGGATTCTTTTAAAAAACTAGATTTTGAAAGAAGCCTCAAATGGTAGCTTCTCAAAAACGAGACAAATTGCCTCCTGCATACCACTAAAGCTAAAAAGGGAGTTTCATTTCAGTGGGAAGGGAGGGGGCTGCTGCCCCAGCTTTTGTCCTTATAGCTGTAAGAAGGGCATATTATGAACTGAACGAAACCTGTTTAGAGGATGAAAGCTAACATTGTAGCTTTAGCCAAGTGATTATTAGCTAAATATATCATGTTTAGAGGATGAAACATATTCATGAACTGAATGTCTGAATGAAATCATATTTTTAAAAATTATTAGTATATTCATCCCAATCAACAAAAAAGTGAATATTAGGTTAACAAAGAGGCCGACAATGATTATCAGTCGGTTTAAGTGTCCACCAAACCGGAAGGCAAATAAAACATTGATAGGATTCATATAGGTAGTGTAAAAAGCATTTACGTTCATGTTCTCCCCATTTCCCATCTGAAGGTGCTTTATAAAGCATACGGCCCAATGGTGTGAACTGGTCAACTGGGACCTCTTCAGCAGGAATGCCCAACTCATCTAAAAGCTTCCTTTGGGCAGCATTCCTCACGCCTAAAAAAGAAAGTAATAGTTTAATCTAACATAGTACTTGTTGGTAGTTGAGTAAAAAAATCACAATTACAGCAAATAACTGAAAGATATACACATACCAAGAGCATTCTCGGCAATAAGCTCTGACTCTCGGTGAAGAGGATGGCTACAGCAAGTGTTTGTCCACACCAAAGGAAAGGTAACTTTTGTTGCAGATCTTTGCTGCAAACATAACACATATCAGTAAATTCATCAAATTCTATAGGAATGACAGAAGTTATATACTCTTGCCAAGTACCAACCAAACCAGTGAGGCAACATGTTAATTACTGAACATTAATTCTAGAAAACAAATCATATTATTGAAACGAGGAGTATTCAGGTCCGGAATTTCCGGACCACTCCCCCCGTCCGGCCTCCTACATTTTCTGGACCAGTTAACTTGCAAAAATCATTTGACGACCTTCCCGATTGAATTTTTTGCTCAAATTTGGTATGGATGAACTAGACTTGATGAGGAACATACACAAAATATTTGGGTCAAAAATACCACCGGGAAGGCCCCCAAATGAAGGAGGCCGGACGAGGGTCCTGTCCGGAAATTCCGGACAGGAAGAGCCCTCTTATTGAAACCAACATAAAATATGATTGCAGAATGCACGTATGAAGTGAAAGCAGTCAAAGCACTAAAGTAGGCTTTCAGTCACTTATACTGTTGCTTATTTGAAGGAAAAACCCACTGCTAAATCTTTATTTCCCAACAGGGAAATGTATTAATTTCAAAATACTTTTTTGGAGTTGAATAAACAAGGTAATTCAGTCACTGTATAGTTGCCTGAAAAAAATGAAGATTGAGTTTCAACATGTAGATAAAGCTTGTGGTGTTGCTATACAACAGACAAAAAATCAGGATTACTACATGTTGGTCCAGTGAACTGCTAGACAGAAATGACATCATTCGCCTCGAGTAATAGTCTAAGTAGTTTAGCTGCAGGATTTCAAAGGGGAAGTTGTTGGGGGGGGGCTTTGTGTTATGGAAAATGTTATTCATAGCTCTTAAGGAAACCACTAATGACTATAGAATATTCTATTTCATTTTCAAGAAACACTCAATATGTTAATGCTTAATGGAATACAATGATGAATTATTTGTTTTGGAGTGCTAACCATGAAGATTCTTATTAAATTATTTAGTTTATTTATGTAAACCCTGGAACTGTTCTTTTATCATTAATGCCTAACCAAACCTCAACAAGTTGTGGTAGCAGGACCCTAATTTTATTAGTTTATTCTTGCATTTAGATGGTGGTTGGAAACAAAGTGAAGATGAGAAATTAATATACAAATGTACTTTTTAACTACGCATATATTGCAGTTATTTTTCAGTCCAAGGCTAACAAATAGAGATAAATTAGTTGAAAAAAAATCAATACACCTTCCACCCTTCCCTCCAAAATCCCCCAACCGAACAAGCCTAGATGAAACTTCATCTCCCCTTAATTTAAAACCTTTTTCTTTTCTCTCCTCAATGCACCCAGGTTGTATTTACATGGAGAGCCTGGGGCATATATTGCTGACAATAATAATGCAAATTAAGATCTTAACTTAGATTGCAGGTATGTTTGACTAGTATCACGGAATCCATAATAAATGAAACCATTGATATAAAATATTAGGTATCCTTACCTGAAGAAGCAATTCATATTTTGAATTAAACAAGAAAACACTGAAGGCTCTATGTAGCAAATTTTCAGATTCAATCTTCTCCATAAGATGACCTGCAAGTTAACAACAATGGTTAATTGGTTTTCTGATAAATCACAAACCGTGATTGCTATATTTGCACAATCCGGGGTGTAATGGACTATAAATTAGAGAGAATGACTATTGTGGCTGGTAGGGTGACCCTAGAAAAAGAGGAGCATGTCGAATTATCCACATGCAAGTCCCTGTTGACCAACACGCAGATTTAGTAACTAAAATACTAAATGCAAATATCTTGTACGGATGTCAGACATGTCTGCAACTTATGTAAAGTGACTATATTGTAAACCAAAGTAAATACCTTTCCGTTCATGTGATGAAGACATTATTTCTTAATCAATGATTTATGATCGATAAGATTTAATAAGTATGGAGTATATCAGAAGAGAAGAAAAAGAGTGTCCTTTTTTAAACAAAAACAGTGCCTTTGTTATTCTAAATTTATTATTTGAGATGATTGGAATAGTCGCACAAAAAGACAAATTGACATCATGACTAAATCCATAATCAAATACAGCTTTAGAAAAACATGAATTGGTGAAAGCATGTACATTATTGATTTATTAACTACATCAAAAGGATGTTAAGTCACATAGGCGCACACAATAGAGACAATCACAACAGAAATGAAAATTTGAAGTCACCCCTAGTTGAATACAGTCACCTATTATCAGGGCCAAAGCCAAAAATGAACCAAGTAAACCTGTTAAAATCAGTTTAAAAATTTGGCGCATGTGGGTGGCGTGGCGCAAATATGGCTTCACGCCTTCACCACGTGTAGAGTCATCGCCAAGAGGGTTTTTGTGGCGAGGAGGCTTTGTATCTCCATATTGCGCCATCGACAATTACTGATAACGGTCATTGCTAGATATGAAAAACCACCACTAATTAGTACCAGATGCCCACCCCACATCCAGTCAACCATACTACTTTACCTTTTGCGGGACTCATACTACTTTTTCTTCTTTTTAAATATTACAATTGTAAAATAACAATTATCGACTTTAATGTTTAAAAAATTGTGCCAAACCCAACTATTAGGTTGGATGAGCGAATGACTTTGAAGAAAGCAAAATGGAGGGAGAATATGCATGTGGAGGATTCATCTCTTTTATCCTTTTTAACTCCGATTTCATATGTCGATTCATGTTAGCAATCCCCAAATATCATTTGAGACTAATGCTTGGATGTTGGTTATAAATTTGTGGATGACATGATTGAGTGAAAAAGAAACCAGAATTCAATGCAGGCTGTTGTAGTGCTGAACTTTAATAGTACTGCATAAAATTTGTATATTAAAGGCAAGTTCCAACTGGTCAAACAGAACCAATTATAAACCATCTATACATTAAAAGAAAATAGATTACCTTTACAAACTAAGTACTCAATAATGTTAGCAATGAAATCAATTAGACTGTTGAATTCATATTGTTACTACTATATACTCGTATTCAAGAACACCAGGATACACTCACATGCTCAAAGCTATACAACTATAGAATTGGGGCTGAAAAGCGGTCTTACAATTGTATTTGGTATCATGACCTACAACGTTATCGTTCTCATCGACCAATATACATCTGCAGCAATGAGTAACTAATGTTAACTTTACTATGAAACAGGGTGAGAGCCATCAATTAAGAATACAAAGTTGGAGTGTTTGTGTTAGCTTCTACTTTTGAGAGGTGATTTATTTTAGAGATAGTATGAAAAATGATTAATATTAAAACTGGCTAAAGTTTTAAAAGAAAAGTGATTTTAAAAGACTAAAAGTTAGATTGTTTGGTGTAAAGGTATTTTTTGTGTAAAATACACAAAAAAAAAACTTAAAAAATACACTGAAATCTTCAGATTTAATAGCAGTTTTTAAGCACCCTCTGCTTACATCTTTTAGCTTTGAAATGTTTAGATTTAAGTTGAATCACTGGGGAAAATATTTTATTTCTCAAGAATGCCCAAAACTGCTTATCTAACCAATCAAAATGACCAAAAGTAATACACCATTGTAATACAGAATGCTGTTTGGGTCCAAAAGAACTCACTAGAACATTCATTCTCTGAGGAAATTCCATTTTCCAGTAACTATTTCAAAATAGTTCTTATGAAAGAAAATGAAAATCCATAGATCCAATTGAAAAGTTGAACCGAGCTTAACTTGAAATAGATTGTCATCACTGTATTGCTTCACTGGAAACAAGTACTGACGAAAAAATACACAAAAGTAAAGATCATGCATAAGTACCAAGGGCCAAAGCAGACGCACACAGAATACGTTAAGAGGATACAAAAGAAAGAGATAATTTTTTATTCTTTTATGATGACTAAATAAGTCTTATTTCAAGAGTAAAACACGATTAATCCTGTTTGTAAACTATGCGTATGTTTTACTCGCTTGCAGCAAACTTATCACAATGAAAATTGCACCAACACTTACTCCAACATTCATTCAACTTTAAAGCCTTACAGATCTCCATAATAAACACGAGTGATGATATAAAAATCGCAGAATGATCCAGTGAAATCAAAATACCGCATTGAAATTGCTACAGAGAAGGAGATGAGAATGGGGTAGTGAATACGTACTCGTCTTCGAACATGAGGCGGCGCTGGACAGCGTCCATGTTGACATCTGTGACGGTATCGGCCATGGATATGAGCAGAAGAGAGCTGGAAAGACTGCGAAAATCAGATCGTAGAGAAAATGAAGATGCTGATGATAACCAGTGGAGCCGTGACAGAGTAGAAATTACACGGTAGATTATGGGTGAAGTCAAAGATGATGGGTGCCATAGAGTCAACGACTTTTGTGCATTGAAAGTCGATTCTGTTTTTGGACAGTTCCTATATCTTGCAACCGGCCGCATGCTCCTATGTCCAAAACGATATGGTTTGTAGCATGCTAGAAATCGCGTGTTACTCTTCACGCGTATGAACACTAACCTTTTTTTCTTCCACTATTCAGGAGCATAATGATGTAATTCATGTGTAATGAAATGTAACTCAAGCTGATAAAAAATGTAATTGCAAACATGTTGAAATGTAACTTGTCTAATACGAATATTAAGAAATAAACCATTGATATCAAAGTGAAAATGATAAATAAAGAGTCTAATTGCCCAATTAATTCAAGTACATAATGAATACTCCCTCCGTCCCATTTATTTTGTCCCGTTTTACTTTTTCGGGAAGTCCCACTTATATTGTCTCATACCATATTTGGCAAAGTTTGTGTGGCTCTAAATCATTCTTACTTTATTCTTACTTTATCAATTAATATCAACCACACACACCCACTTTTCTTAATTACCGTGTCACTCCTTTCCGGGACAATATAAATGGGACGGAGTTGTTTTTAATAGTAGATGTTGATTTTTTTATATAACTAACTAATGGCAAATGTAGCTTAGGTGTATACAGAATGTAACTTGTTGAGATAAATCCAAATGTAACTCGCGCTTTAGTTGATGTAACTTGCTTATAAGAAGATGTAACGCATGCACATGAAGATGTAAATCGTTCATAAGATGAAGGAAAAGTAAAAAAAAAAAAAGTATATGAATGTGAAATACAATATACTTATTTTATGTATGTTAATAAAATTTTGCAATAAATTGGTAAAAAAAGAAGTTAATTCAGTTGTAATTTAATTAGTTAAAGATAAAGATAAGTAAAAATTGACAAAATATTAGATGTAACTCGTGCATAATTAGATGTAACTCACGCATAGAAGATGTAACTAGCGCGCAAGAAGATGTAACTTCATATACTATAAAATGTAATTCCAGAAATTGTTTTTAAACATAATTCACACATGCGCAAATGTAAAACTTTGTCAAATGTAATCAAAATAAATAAATTTATTGTCTTAAAAACACTAAAAACGTATAAAAGAGATAAGAGATACTACTATATTACAGGAAAAAGTGTATGAATATGAAAAATATATTACAAAAAAAAAAGTATAAAGAAAAATTGGTTGTAATTTCAATTGAATGAAGAAAAAAGAAAAAAAAAAAATTTGAATAAAGGCTAAGACAAAATAAGTAATTAATTTATTTTGAAACGATGCAAATTTGATCAAAAAATTACTATATAATACATTTAGTGCTCCTAATTAAAAAAGAATCATTCAAAGTAAAAAAGTAATTAAAAATTAAAAGTAAAAAAGGAAAAGGAAATAAAAGAAATGAGGATGGGGGAGTGCGACTAAGGCACTAACTAAATTCTGTATTCCGTATTCAACAATGATTAAGTAGCACCATATGTATTCCGTCGTCCATTTGTGAGGAAAAACGGCACCGTATGTGAACCGATATACCATGAGCATGGTATACCGGTCATACGGTATAATTTGCCATTTTTGGAAGTTGCCGGTAAAACAAACTAATCTATTTTGACACAGTATTTTTTTTATCATACTTTGACACAGTATTTAGAAAATATGTAGTACGGAGTATATTACAAAATGTGTTAATGTTGTCATACTAAGAGCCCGTTTGGTAGTATCAAAATCGACTATTTGGATTGATTCTGCTGAAATTTATGAAGTTCGGGTTGAAGTGGCTGCATCGGTTGATTCTGCTGATTTAAGAAAAAAATATTTTTAAAATATATTTTATTAATAAAATAAAGAAAAAAATATATATGTAAAAATAGCTAAAATGGTCCTCTACAGTAATTTCAGCCAATACAGCCAGAAAAGTAACTTCAACTTTACTTGTTCTGCTTATTACACAATTCAGCGTGCGAAAGCAAAAGTAACGTATTTAGTGAAAAAGTTTGCCGATAAGCCTGATACGCCGAAAAACAGTGTTGTCAAACGGTCTCTGATACTTATTAATGTCAAAATATATTAGTACAATTTCAATGTGATACAGGGGCGGATCTGCAAGGGAGGTCGGTGCCCCTGCTTCAGATATGCGAGATAGGTATAGGAGGGTGTAGGTGGGCCGCCAGGACGGCCGTTGCCATTTTTTTGACGAGTCGGGGAAGCTCGAATGAAGTCTGAGGAAGACATGAAAGGGAATGAAGCGGGCGACTTGTTGATTCTTTTTTTAGTTAATGGAACGACATCGTTCCGAGTCCAAATTAAAAAAATTAAAACAGACCAGGGCTGATTGGGCTAACCCCCAAAAGCCCCAAACTAGACAAATAGGAAGTCTTGAAGATCGCAGCACCGCAGCAGCCCTGTTACTCACCAGCATGACAGCATCGCATCATTGCTCATGGGCGATCAATTGTTATACCGTGGGATCATCCCACGGTGAGCATCCTACCCCCACGTATAAAACGGTGTCATTTAGAATTAAGTTTTAAATTTTACAAAAAATCGCGTAAACAGTACTCTTGCGTTTTTCTCAATTTTTTTCGTGTTGTAAATCCTTTGTATTGCAATGTAACTCGTGTTATTGTGAAATGTAAATCCAATGTATTCAAATATAACTCACACATTGTAATGTAACTTGTTTTTTACTCTCTCAAGTAGTATAAAATGAAACTTGCACTAAAATGTAAATCGTGTGCTACAAGATGTAACTATAGGCAAGTTTCATGTAACTCGAGTGTACCCGTTATGTAACTTGAGAAAAGTAGAAAATGTAAATCAGATTAGTTGAAATGTAAATCATGTTTATGTATATGTAACTTTAAATAAATCCAAACGGTGTATGTTTATGTTCTTTTCTATGCTGCAGAAACCAAACAAGCAACCACCCAGTTATCACAACTCAATTCATCATACCAATCCTTACGAATGGCTGCCAAAGTCCCGATTATAAAGAAATTTCAAAAGTTGAAGTTCTTAAGATGGAATAGAACTTCAAATTAGATGTCTCCAATTAGATAAGAAAAAAGATCCCTTAATGCAATCAAACCCTTCAAAATCCCCAATTTCTTCACCATCTCAATTTGATCTTCATCAATCGCCTTTGCCAACTAGAATCTTCTTGTTGGCTATTCACTGCAGCGGCACATCAACACAAACAAAAGACGGAACTCATGATCAGAACTCGGGGAAGGCGACTGCAGGCTTTGACGGGGGATAAGACTCAAATTGGACACTATGGTTTTATTAGAATCTCATATTGGACACTAAGGTTTCAAATGTACCAAATTGGACACTATGATTACATATGTATCTCATATTGGACACTCAAGTTTCATAATTCATAGTTTTTGGACACTCACTTGTGATTCTCGATCTTCTTCTTTTAATAAAAATCGCAGGCCTTATATTGTCTTTCCTTTTTGGTGAAAATAAACTAGTTTAATTATGTATATAATTTTTGAATATTTAATTTGAGGTTTTATAATATATATTTTGATTTTAATTAATAACTTCATATATTAACAATCTAAAGATATATTTAGGACTTTTCATTCATATGATTTTTATGGAACTTTAAGAAATACCGATTTGTTAAATTGATTTAACAATATTAAAGAATTCAATTACATTATAATAGATTTTCTTAATTGGAACTTCTAATTATATATTCTTGATGGATAGTCTACCCGGGGGTATCTTATCCGAAGGGTTATTGCGGGAATAACTAGAGAGAAGTCAGAGTAAATAGGAGGAGAGAGAGTCGATTTTATTAAATGAACTCAGCGTGTAGAGTTGGGATGTAGATGATGATTTACAAGGAGAAATGGGCTGCTATTTATAGCAGCAATAAATGCGATGAGAGGACACGTGTCAGTAATCCAACGGCCGAAGGGTCACATCAGCCGGTTGGCACCGGCAGTGGTACGTCCACCGCATTGATTGCGGTTGGCGGATGTGACGTGGCATTAAATGCGGTGGTTGGCTGTCTCTAAAAGGAATCTTCGATGATTGAACATGTTTGGCCGAAGGCTCCTTGTGTAGCCGAGGGCTCCATGTAACCAAGGACCCCTGTGTAGCCGAAGGCATTGTGTGACCGAAGGCTTGGTGTAGCCGAAGGCATTGATAGTGCCGAAGGCTCATGTTTTTCGCCGCTTTCTCCCAGTAGCTTCTTATGCCAGAGAAGGCTATTCTGTGAGTTTTGGAGCCTTCGGCCAGGGAGGCCGAAGGCACCGTAGTATGTATTTTGGGCTACTTTGGGGCTTGGGCCGTTGCATTTGGGCCTGAGTTGTTCTCTGGGCTCAACGGACTTGTGTAGGAGAAGTAGGAGTCTATGGGTCGGGGGTTCCTGGGCCATATACTCCATCAGGAGTCCCTCACTCCTTTTGCCGAAAGGTACTTGAGGGAAAAGGAGTAGATGTGTTGATTCTTCTGGAGGCTTCATCATTTGGTTGGGATTGCCGGAGGCTTCCCTCAGTCCCTCACATGTCGAGGGTTTTCTGAAGGAAGCGTAGATGTGTTGCCTGTATGCGTTGTGATGAGGGCTGCTCTATTTCCGCAAGTGACTCGGGGAAAACTTGTGATGCTCTGCCTCCGCCGAAGGGTGTGATGATGCGTACGTCCGAAGGGTTCTCCTTCACGTGCCACTTGATGTGATTCCCGAGGGGTGTGTGCCAGTCCCTCACTCCTTTGGGCCGAAGGCAAGTTCGGGCGGAAGGAGTTGTAATGTTTGCGTGTAGCCCCGAGGGGTGTTATTGTCTGGGGAGAGCTGACATTGACGAGCCGAAGGCTTACGCTGTTTGCTTGCTTGAAGGGGTCAGGTGACACATGTTTATCGGGGGCTCTCACTCCGGGGGCATTCGGCAACAGTTCTTCACCGAGTGTTCCGGTGAGTGATAGCCTGAGGGTATCATCTCAGGTTGCCTCGATGTCTCCCAAGATAGAGCCGTTAGAAAAATAGCCGTTAGAAGAGGGGGCCACGTGGCGTGCACTTGTTGGTTGAAGGTGGCGGGAATCATCCATTGGTTGAAGCGGCGG